CGCCCGTGGTACCGGCACGTTTCCAGTCAGAAACGAGAGAAACGCCCCCCGTGGGAACCCCTGCTTAAAAAGGAAGTATTTCTTTGGGGAGCAGAGAGGAAAGGCTTTGAAGCACTAGTTCGGCGGAGGTGCTTTCTCCGCGCGTTCTGCCCGGTCAGTCGCCCATGGCGTGCCGCTCTCCTCGGGGGAGCACAGGAGCTGCTGTAGGAACGGCACCTTCTCTGCGGAAAATGGCACGTTTTTAATGTGGGAGTGCTGCTTTGTGTCAGTCGCGGCGGCATGAGTTCTTAAGGCCTTTAAGGGGAGCTAGTGGAGAGGAGGTTGGTATTTCTTCAGTGCATTAAGTTAACTGGATTCGGAAATGTGGCAAACTTTTCTTCAGCTGAAGTGATCTGAGCGCTGGAGTTCAGTTTGTTAATGGCATTTTAAAATTCCTGTTTATTTGGGTACATAGTTGATATCAAGAGGAAACCGCCAGCTCTGTTGGCAGTTTGTTGGCACTCCCCGGCCGGCTCCGCGGAACCGCCGCCCCGCGCACAGCCCGCAGGGGACGCTTTGCCCCGGCCGCTTCCCAGACCTCTGCAAACGCCTTGGCACGACCGAGACCTGTGCTGATGCCTGTGACAGTGTCCTGGTGGCGTGTGAAAGGTGTCGCTGTGCACACAACTTTCTCTGTATGTGAAAAGTAAAAAAGAAAAGTTCAGGGTTTCCTTTCTTGCCCTGTTTGGGATCCATGGGGCCTGACAGCTGGGGATCACATCTGGCTTTTGAGCTGCTGTCAGAAACAGCTATTGTGTTTGACAGGCTGGGGGGAGTGTTCTGCCAGTCTAGGCGTGTGGGTTATTTTTTCAAGTTAGTAATGCTGTATTTTGCACAAATATATTTAAGAAATTGTAGAAAGCTGTTGCATTTAGTCAACGTATGGTTTACATGCCTAATTCTTGATTATATCACAACAGGCTACACTATTGGGTAGCAACACAGCTGAAAGGTAAATTAGCTATTAATTGATAGTCACAGATGGTCTGAGTGCTCCTTGCCCCTGTATGTTCTGAAACTGTCAATAAATCACTTGGACATGGGAAATCCTGTGAATGTGGAACCACAAAAACATTTTTCTTCAGGGCAGGAAAACTACAGAGCTTTCAATTCCTTCTGAAATTTAAGCAAAGCTGTTGATTTAAAAAGAAATACGAGGAGTTGTTTTGGACAAAATACATTGAGCTCCCCTGAAATTGCTGTTTAATGTTAACCAGGGCACTCTTACTCGGATTTTTTGCTGCTGATCATCCCAACCCTGTATAGACTTAAGTTTGAATTTATTAACAGTGGGTGCTGTTCTGTCAGATAGTATGCAAATGCCTATAAACAAATACATGTAAAAGCAATTTGTAGCCTACTAAAAACGTTTCTTTGCCTGCTGTACTTGTTGGTGGGCGCTGTTGGTGTGCTGCATGTACGTGCAGGCAGGGTGTGTTTATGCAGAGGCACTTCAAGCCTTCTGATCTGTGCCTCTTCGTGGCTTTTACAGAAGGCAGTCTGGGGCAACTGCTGAGCGGCGTGTTGCAGCGGGCTCTGCGGGGAGAGCAATGCGTGCTCGCTTTCCCCCTGCAGGCTGTAAGGTGACTCCAGTAACCTCCTCAGCAGGACATACAGAAGCGGTCAGTGCCAGAAGAACAGAATCGGATGATGTGTCAGACATTATTGGCCTTATTAGCCATTTCACAGAAGCAGTTTTTGGAAGGATTGATGTCACTTATCTTTTGTAAGTAACGGTATTTTAGGGATATTGTATTGTCTGTCTCGCAGGAAACCTCAAGAAATTGTGTTACATTTAAAACAGCAGGAAACGTTATGAACCTTTACATGGTGTGGCATAATGACTTTTTGTGCTATTCACAAAACAGTGAAGAAAATCTGCTTCCATCTCTTCTGTCACACGTGCATGACTTTGTGCAAACTTGTGTCACAGCTGCCAGCATGGAGGACAAGGCTTGACTCTAAAATAGGTTCCTTTTATAAGAGCTTAGAAGAAATACTTTTGAATAATACCTGGTGAAACCATCAGGTTCTAATGCCTCCTCCTTCTAGCAGAATCCTTTTGCCTGTTGTAGAGTGATAGAAGTAGAGGGGCAGGGACTAGAGTTTTTAGTCACTTTTTAGTGTGGCCATGAGTGTTCTGGTTACTTTTCCCGTGTACATCTAAATCTTTTCTTCCAGTTTCCCCTTAATGAAAGGAATTGGCTATTTTGTGACTCTTTAGTCTACCTTGGGAGACAGCTCATAAAATATACTTCAGAGTGGCTCTCTGATGCCCCCGAGATACCTGATATTCTCTGTGTTTTGACATCTATATCCTAGCTGCTTGCTTGTTGATGTTTTTTAGTGGAAATGGGTGGCTGGAGAGGTCTTCTGTTACCATGTCTTCATCACGAGATAGTGATGAGCCTTCTGTGCTTCATCTTCCTATGCAGAGGTCAACGACAGACAGAGACAGACCGTGTGAAATGCTGATGGGTCACTTAAGTAATTTTTCACTTGATTTAATGGCAAATGTCTCAGATACTGGCTATTTGAGGAAAACAAATAGACACATGAAGAAGAGGGGGCATTTAAGTCTTGCATATCAAATTCATAGTAATCAAGGGTTTGAAAAGTCAGGTGACTTGTTATAATGCCACAATTTGCTACGTAACTACTTGGAATTGAAGCAATAATATTGAGTTTGGATGTGGGTAATGAAGTTTTATTGACGCCCAGTCCTGGGAGCACTTTTGAACGTGGTGAATTTTGCTGTTCTAACAGGCTGAATCAACAGTCACTCTCCGTTGTGTAGTTTATTCAACTTCTGCAAAATTAAATTGTTTTCACAGAGAAAAATCAAACCTTGCTTTGACACTCTGCAATGAGAAGAATGAGCTTACAGCCCATGCAGTTTTCCTGGACTATCCAAATTGGAATATCACCGATCAGTCTGATTGGGAATTGTTCTTGCATGAAAACTACAGTAACACTAAATGCACTGTAAGTAAGCTGTGTGATTTTAGTGGAGTCTTAATCTAAGACTTGGGTATGAAAAGTACACTGACGTGAGCATCTTAGTTCTGAAATAAGCTGCTTTGGTGTGGGTGTGGAAACTGCTGTGCTCTGTTCTGTGTGCTGGCAGATTTCATACATGCTCCTTCATCAAGTTTATGAATTACTCTTAGGAATTGTGGACTAGAAATAGACAGCTGAGGATTCAAATACTGCCCATCATTCAGTCCAGCTAGGAACTGCATCCTCTGGCTGTTGAGAAAAGATGGAAAATGTTAGCCATAAATCCTCAAAAACAAGGCAGCACATGCCATAATGAGGCATTGGCAGTACTGAAATTATCTCTAGACAGTTTGACCATCAGTTTTCCAGTGTTGTTCTAGGAGACTTTAAGCAAGGACTTGCAGAAAAACTGGCAAACATGTCAATTGCATTTGAAAATGCTGCGTGCCATTAAAAGAAACGAAATTTTTGCAGCCAAAGGGAGCATAGAAAAAAACCCATGTAATTTTCTTGTAATCTGTTTTCTTTGTCACTGGAAGAGCACTTTGTGTCCGGGCGGATGGCAGGCGCCCCCACTTCACTGCCCGTGCAGCTGCAGCTGCTCCCGTGGGGCGATGCCGCCCGGCCCGAGCTCCCCCTCGGGCAGCCTGCCTGGCACAGCAGAGCCCCGCCTGGCGCCACCAGCGGGGCCATGCAGAGGGAAAAGACCAAAAACCAGAGCTGCAGCACGCGGGGTTACGCCTCGTACGCGGGAGCGAAGGGCGCTTGGGAACGCTGGCAAGGAGCAGAGGAACTCTTCTTTTTCTAGAATGGAGATTATTTCCTGAAATACAGAAGGAAGATTCAGTGTGTGTCTTATGCTTCTGCTCTGACAAACCAACTGATCCTGTTCTGAGTTAGAGGCAGATGAGATAGCAGGTTAAACCCATGCCAATGTGCCTTACAAAACTGAGATCTGCTGAAAACAGAATTTCTTAAGATGACAAGTCTTTTTTTCCTAGAGCACAGAAATTATAAAATAGCTTAATGGTCTAGACTAGGAACTGACTTGTGCAGAATTTAATTAGTGAAGATGCTTTACAGGATTGCCTGGTTACCATCAATTGCTATTCAAAAACAGCTACAGGCCAAATTTTGCCTCCTTTTGGACCTCCAGAACAAAACTTTTTTTTCTTCTCTTATTTTTTTTTTCATGTAAACAAAGAAAAGTCTGATTTTTAGAAATGGCTTTTGATGTTTTTTACAGCAGCCTATTGTCTTTCTGTTGGTCCTTATACTGCAACTTTTATTAAAATCATTCTTGCTCTAAATTTGCTGAAATTTATTGGTGACTCTAGCCATGGCATTTTAGTTCACTAGTAAACTCTTCAGAAGACCACAAATTTTCCCATTTAAAGTATTTTTGTAGAAATATTTAATCTACAGGTGGAAGTTCATTATTTGGTGCTTGAACTTAATATGCAAGAGAAAACAGCTGAATTAGCAGAACTTCCCATTCCAGCACAGGGGTTTTCCTTTGCTCGTGTCTTCGGGGTTAAATGGAGGCATACAGGGTAAAGATGTCTTTTAGTCTGCCCTGTTTCTGCCTGGAGATAGATATATCTAATGATGTAATCTTAAGACATTGTAACTTTTCTTACTTCTTTTAAAGAAAAAACATTTTAAGAGTATGAGAAATATGTGACCCTTTGTTTTTTTTCAGACCTAGAAAGAATGTCTTTGTCAGCCAAATGTGGAATTAAATGTTGTTCAGATCAAGTTGTTAATTGTTGTTGCTAGATTAAAATGTTGTTAGACTAGAATTAAGACTGTTGAATACAAAATTATGTATGTATATTGTAGTAAAAAAATAGTAAGCTTGAGAGTAAATTAAAAATATTACAGAAGCACAAATCGTGATATTAAGGTGCTTTAATCATGCACCTTTACCCACACGTGCTTTGAAGTGACTTTATTTATGTGAAGCTGCTCATTTTGAGTGCAGATCATGTGTATCTGAAATCAATGTGCATTTTACTACTTGGGTTGACTTAATAAATACTACCTGCATGGTGTTTAGGTTTTCATTCCTCCTTTTGCAGCCTTTGAACACATTGTTCATGCATCTTTTTGTGGCAAAAGAAGAATATGCAGCTGGATGTGCACAAGAAATTGTGAGGTGGGCTCACGTGTAACTTTGTGTAGTGTAGCATGTGCACTCTCCTCTGACCATCGTTTGGGGAGGCTGTGGAATTTCAACATGCCCTAAGGTGGTCACTGGGTCAGAATTACACCTCTCCCTAAGCACTCCCAGAAGGTAATAAACATAACCCTGTATTAATCAGATGTGCCCTGTTGGCTTTGGAACCAAGCTGTTACAGCCCCAAGTACACTTCCCAAACAGCATTACCGTTCAGCTGGAGATTTGCTGTAATTTTCCACAGAAATAGTACTGCAGTTGCAAGGCAGATTGATTTTTCTTTTTCCCAAATTTCCACTTGTAAAAATCGGAACGTGTGACTGAGCAGGAAGCTGAGAAAGATGCAGGTGTTGCTGGAAGACGCTTGTTCCCAGGCAATCTACTGGTAGTTGGGTAGCTATAGATTCTATGGTAAGGCTGCAAACTATATGGCACAAAGCACAGTCTGTTCCTGCCTGTGAGCTGGGTGCTCGGTGTAACCATCGCTCGGGTCATTTGCTGTAGCTCAGAATATAGTTACATAAACAGTAAATTGCACTCGGTGCTGTTGCAGTTGAATTTACAGTTACTTTGTTGTGTCAAGCCAGCTCATCCACATGCCAGTTCACAGAGCTGCCAGCAGAGACCTGGCATCTTTAGTTTTTTTTTGAAATCTAAGGATTAGGAAATTAAGAGAGAAATAAGTTGGGAAAAAAAAATTTTAAAAATGCCCAGATGAATTTTATATGATCTTATTTGTTGCAAATGTTTTAATTTTTGAGCCATGTGGACACATAAAGATTAGAGACACTGGAGAAAAAAGAAAATTATTAAAAGCCTAGCTGCTATATCTGATTGGGTGTAATGATGAAAGACTGAATGCAGTTATATTATTTGTCCAGGAGAGCTTTTATCACAGTACCAGAATTGCAGTTTATACTTCTCTTCATACCAGCTGATGAGAATTTAGGTAAGAATTTAATACTATTTTATTCCTAAAATGAGAACAATCTCATTATCATTAATACACACTGTGGTGATGTTTTTGTTTTGTTTTTTAAAGTATTAAGAGTACTGATAATTTTCTAAGCGTGCAGAAAACAGAATGTGAAAGTATCCTGGAATGGACATAGCTTGTAGAAGAGGGTTATGTGACACGTGTTCACTCCAGCAGTCCCTTCAGCAGTCTGTCCATTTCCAGTGGTCTTTAAATTTGCCAGAAACAGACAGGACTTCAAACAGGAGTAAAGATCTCTGAAATAAATTCCTACAAGTTTTGTGAGGATTTCTGGCTGAACAGAGCCAAGAGACTGAAACTGGGTACTTCTCTTATTTGGCCAGCGGAGTACAAGATGGGGAGAGGACACTGGCAAGGCTTAGAAAGGGTGCTGGAGGCATGGAGGGAAACCAAGATTGTTTCTTTTAGAGCAGAGGTCCAAAGATGGAGAATGCACAAGTCAATTGGAGAACATCACCTATGTGGAGTTTCAGTCCTGAATTCAGACTAGTAAACCAAGCATCTGCTTAATGGCTGATTTTTTTTTTTTTTCTTGGAGCTTTCCTTGAAGTGAACTGGGACCTTTTCTGATATGCCAATGCTTAGAGATCTGGGGTCCAAGTCATGCTAAAAAACTCCATAGTAATATGCCAACAACAGAAAACAGTACCTCAGTAAAGGGTTTGGTCAAACCTACCCTAGGTACCTATGTCAACTTCCCTTCAGCACAACGTGTCCTGACAAAGGTTCTACAGTGGCACACAGTATTGGTTATAAGACTAGTATTTTTATAGGGATTTGATACTACCAGTTTCCAGCTGTTTTGAAGCCTATTTAGGTTTGGGATGCTGGGTTAATTAACAAATTCACCCTAGCAATTCTTTTGCATGTCTATACTACTGTCATTTCAGCTTCATGGCTTAACTCCAGACTGAGAGCGTTGCGCCGTCTGTGATTTCAGTTCGGAACTCCGTCTTCCTCAGGCAGTGCTCTGAGAATTTAAAAGCTTACACAGTGAAGTTTCTCAGCTGCTTCTCATGGATTTTTGTCATTCACAGAGCCAAGCATGGGAAATGTCTTTGAAAAGATGGTGGCAGCTCCTGGTTCAGTGGCAGATGTAAACTTTACCTTGCTTGTGTGCCCCAGACACCGGTATCACCCGCAGCTGTACGTTCGCAGAGCAAGGTAAAGGAGTTTCTCCCTTTGAGCAGTCCTGTCTGGGTTAATTTGAAGAATTTTCTTCTCTGCCTTACAGCATCAGTATGTTAGTTAGACTGCTATGCTTCTCCTTGATAACCTAATGTAGTAGTTCTATGATTATGCTGGTTTTGTTCCACTTCATCACAAGGTCAGCTGTACTGTTTGTAAAGCTAGTTTGCTATCTGGGAAGAATACATGTTTTGTCAGTGGTGTTTCTCCTGGGAATCTGCTGCTGAATTGTCTTCCAACTTATTTTTAATTTTCTCATTATGTATCATTCTGACCAGAGGAGCAGGTCTGAACAGGACAGCCTGTTATCTAGGAGATGTGTTTAAAAGGCATGTAGATGTGGTGCCTATGGACGTGGTTTAGCAGTGGACTTGGTGGAGTTAGGTTAACAGTTGGACTCAATCTTAAGGGTCTTTTCCAACCTGAACAATTCTACAATTATATGCTTTGAAAGTTAGATTCTGGGTGGGTTTTTTCCTTTCATATCTGCAGTGTGCAGCAGGCAGAGATGCATGTTCCTGTGGCAGCCTTGCCTATTGATACCTACCTGTATATTGACTCCTAACCACCCTCGGGTTTTCCTGCCATTTGGATTCTGCCTGTGCTGAAGGACAGCAGAAATGTGTGCCCATGCCAGCACTGTATACAGCAAATGAGGAATGCAGAGTTTGACCCAAAGGGGCCTTACGTTTCTCTGTGCAGATTTCTGAACTACCTATGGTGCCATTGCTGCGTAGATGCTTCCCCGCAGCATAGTTGAAATAGAACTCGTACCTATCACATTTTGGTTCACTTGTTTTCCTCTTCACAGTTTAAAGAGCATGTGTAGGGTAATAATTTCATTTGATTCTGATTCGTTCTGGAGTTGCTTTTGTTTGTTCTAAATGTAGATGTGTTGCTATGTGGTTATGTAGCAGGATTATGATAATAATTCATTATATATGAATTATATACCAGATGCATTTCTGGTTCTTGTAGTGGAAACTGAAGTTTGGGGCCAAGCACATCCCTGGGACGTGTTATTGTATAACACGGGTGTGTGGGGGGACTGTATCAACCCGTGCTGAGAGATGGCAGTGCCACATTAGGCACAGCTCTGCTTGGTAAGTCCAGTCCTGTTTGTTGAGGGGTTAATTCGTGCTGACATCCCAGCTAGATTCTGACAGAAGCCTCTCTTGGAGAGGTGTTTTACACATATTTCATTTTACCAAGTAGGCCTGAAACGAAATTTGCAGCTTGTGCTCCCATAGTTTCAGTCAATGTTTGCAATATCCTGTCACCTGACTTTTGACCATTTTAAGAAAAAGGACTGAGGCCTGAGCTTCACCACTTCACATCATCCTGCTATAGGTCTGGATATTTCAACATATTACAAAACTACTTGCATACTAACTTGATCTAGAATTTTTAGGCTTTTTAAGAGTGTTTTCTTTGAGTTGTCTACCATCTATCAGTAAGTGAATGAATGTGAAGCTATCAGCAGGTGAATTAATTCCTGAGGATTTAAAATTTTTCCATGTGTCTTGATTCGAACTATTACATTTGGCTTTTATTTGAATCATATTCTTTCTTTTGATGGCCGGTGGATGTTATCAATATGAATTTTTTTGACAAAACTGGAAATGTAATGTAGACCATACCAATATTCCACATAAGAGATATCATCTTGCCTGGGATTTCTGTACTTTATGAATAATAAAAATTATTTACTTTTTATTATTGCTACTAGAAAACTGAGGACACTTTTTCCTCTTAAATTACTCAGTGTCTGGTGATATAAAATTCTTACTTTAATATTGTCTGTCAGTAGATCTCTGCGTAAGCTAAATTTGGTTTGCAGTAGGTGCTTTGCCTTTCTGTCTCCTCTGTGTTCACCTTTGTACTTCCCTGGCATCCATAGTAACGTTCGGTGGAGCCCTTTAGTGACTTATCTCTGGAAGTTGTCCCCAGCCACCTGCCTAGCAACATGTTCTGGGTCAATGAGAGGAGATTAGGGAAATCTCCATTCCCTCTTCCCTTGCTTACAGAGGGGGAAGAAGGAGCTGTAAACTGATACTTTGCTTAACTAGTAATTTTGAAGTTATTCTCCATCTGACCTTTTAATGTGAAGTAAATCTGTAGTGTGCCAGAACACAGTCCACTAAGCTCTTATATGTAAGTGTCTTGCTGATACCTCGTCTGGATCCTGACTCTCTTGGTTTCGTACCATATACACAGGGGCTCACGAACTTGCAGCTCTGTGGAATGCCTTTACTCTGCTTGTTCTTGCAGCATAGGGATTTTGTAGTATTTTTATATTGAAAAGGTATTGTATTTTTTTCGGTGTTTGGGGTAGTTTTTTTAAAGACTGTGGTGCTGGTTTGAGATGAAAATAGAAAAAACAAGTTGTGTTCTTACAGTTTCTAGTGTGCAGGGAGGTGAGTCATGTAAATTATCGTAATTTTCTGCAAGGTTTCATTGTTCTTGGTACTTCATTTTAGTTGCATCTATTGAATTAATTCTATGAACAAATAATTGATGGTGTGTTACCTTTTCCTTTTTCCTTTTGGCAGTTGTCCTTCTGTCTTAGGCTAGGGTCAGTGTTCTTAGCAACCCAAACCACGTTTGATAAAATTAGAAATGGAGCTTTTGGGCACAGCTGTGTTAGCTTTAAGACTTCTTCCAAATCCAGAAACATAAATGTAAAAAGTTGTTGTGTAAAGACCAGATATAACATAAATGTAAACGGTTCTGTCAGAGCAGGTTGCTGTTGGCCATTATGGGCTGGACTTGTGGAGCAGTCAAAGCCTCCGTGCTGCAGGTTCCCACCTCTGCAGAGAGTCTTTCATGAGGCAGAGGAATAAGAATAATTGCACTTTGGCCTTTGTACCTTGTTCAGTGGTGGAGCATTAACTTGCCCTTAGAAAGGCACAATGCCTCGACTTGTGCTGGGTGCCCCCCGTGCTGCTGAGCAGTGACAGTAATCCAGCCAACACTCACACTGTTGCTCCCGGACAGGAAGGCACTGCTTGCTTTTTGAGAGAACTGATTTTCTCATTTGCACTGGTGTTGCTTTTTGAGATCTCTACCGACTCAAACCAACTGATAATTTGGCTCACTGAATATAATTATTTTAAATGAGGTCTAAAGTCCAGATCCACCTGGCCTGAGATGCCTTGGGCAGGAGAATTTTGCACTGGGCTGTCTGTGTATGTTTCCAGGGAAATGTAACATCTCCACTGGGCAATGCAGAGTTTAGGGGTTGAGTTGTGCTGGCTTTTGGAAGTGGTTCTCTCTCCCCTCTGGTGCTGAGGCTCCCAGCTTAAGGTCTGCTGGGGCCATGTCCTAGGTGAAATTACTTATTTGTGGGTGGAGGCTTTGGGTCAGGTATTTGTGGTATTTGTCTAGATGCTATCAGAGTGGAACAGAAGTATTGGGACCTGTTCATGGCAGAGCTTTAGGACATTACCTAATCTCTTTTTTTGTAGGTTGGAAGATTATGATGATCTCATGCCAATCTGGACACATCAGAGTGAGACTCTGAAAGAAACCTGCAGAGAATATTGTCTTGCTGATCTCATAGAATATCAGGATGAAGAAAATCAGGCAGTTGTTTGTGAGGTCAGTCTGCCATGAACTCTGGTCTTGGGACATCACTAGTGCTACAATCAGACACGCTCATGCTGCAGCTCAGTGAATAAAAGGAACAAGCTCGCTTTTGGAAGAGAGAACTCATGATCTGCACACCTGTACTGCCCTTCACCACATATTTTGTACCTTTCTTTAGGAGTGATGGCTCCTGTAAAGTAGATGAAGTCATTGTGTAGGCTCTTTTCAAGTAATTGGAACAGACCATTTTGAAGGAACCATCTTGCCATTTTAGGCATTTGCATTATAGATGACCAGTTTTCATTCCTAGTGAAAATTAATATTGCATGTGAAAACTAGTAGCCAGCAATACTTTCACAGTTGAAAACACTGTAGATGTTTTTCCATCTCCTGGCTCAGGCCATCAGATTTTTGCTGAAGTCAGAACCCCAGGAATTAATTTAAATAAGAAAGAAGTGG